GACACAACATGCAACAACATAGCATGTCCGTCCGCGCCCACCCGTTCGCCCTCCCGCCCACCCACCACCCACACGCACAAACGCACACACACACAGATGCAACCCATGCGCGACTTCACACTTTGGCGTGGCAGGAGGACCGTGATAGTGTTTTTGTTTTGCACATGGAGGGGGCAGGCCGACATCCCATAACGGTCAGTAACGTGCTGGTGGACGAAAACGTCTTTGTGTGAAGAGAAAAGACTCTGAAAGGCGCACGCCTCTTCCAGTGCCCCCCAGTTTCCCCTGTAGTAAGTGGGGGTGGTGTATGATTTGTTTTTTCCTGGGTATGGCTTCGGGCAAGCTGAGGCTCATCGCCGATTCTGGTGATTTGGCTTCATCGCCAGGAGAAGTTCTTCAAAGCTCTGGCCACGCGCATCTTGGCCGTGGAGAAGTCCTCAAAATGCCGCCTTCCCCCATTTTTGATCCCGGGATGCGCGCGGGTATGCCGTGTTTGTGGTGCATGAGAACAAAACTGTTCATCAACAGGCCCCTGCGTATGCGTGCCAGGCCTCATGCATTATGCGCGTTGTTCGCGCGCCCATGACACGATCCAAGGCCTTCTGGACACCGTCTTGGCGTTGATCCCCGGCGGCGCGGACCGCGAGCAGATCATCCGCCAGGACGACCAGTCCTGCGAGGTGCTGGCAGCGCTGCAGGCGCAGGGCAGCTGCACCGGCGAGCATTTCGTCGCAGCTCGGCGCAGTCTTGGGCTGCTCCTTATGTTTCGCGACGGGGGGTGATTTTGATGATATGGTTTCAGGGCTCCTCTTTCAACGTGAGGTGCGGTGACTCGCCATGACCCGCCATGACCCGCCATGACTCGCCATGACTCGGCAAGAAAGGCCATGGCCATGACTTGCCATGACTCGCCATGAGCGCGCTCAGGCCAAAGCGCGCATTCGCCGGGTCAGCGCCTTCGGTCTGGCCTCCAACTTGGCGCAGCGCACGCGCGCCCTTTTTCTCAGCCACTTTCTTGTGTTGGCAAGAGTTTCCAACCTTTTTGTGAGGTTTCATTTTCTTGCTAGTTTCTTCGTGTATTGTTGGTTAGGTTTCAATATTGCGTCACACGTTTGTGTTCTTTTTCCTTTCTCCGGGCCGGTCGTCAACCCCACTCGACCATTCGGCAATTCGGCCATTCGGTTCGGTCAGGCCTGGCTCTCTCCGTGATCACGGAGCTCTCGAAGCGGGCGGCCGCCGCCGATCTGCGCCGAATCTTTAACAGCTTCCCGGAAGTGGAGGGCTTGGCCAGGGAGGCGCGCCGCCAAACCGGGTGGAGAAATGAGCGGCTGATTCATGAAAAATGTGTTTCCTTGTGGGTTCATCACTTTTGGACAGAACATACCTTACCTGGCGCTGGGCGCTCTAAGGGGCTGGGAGTGCCCAAGAGTCTGGATGCCAAGTTGGCAATAATTGTTGATTTACAAGGAAAGGCACAAGAGAATGAGGATCTTTTTGATTGCAAGACCCCCCGCTTGCAACCAGAAATGATGGACCCCTTTTTGGTGGGTATTTTCAGGGACTGACCCAAGCCCCGAAAAAAAGAAATGCCTTGGTTGGATACTGTGCGGGGACAGGGGCCGGGGTTGAGTGCAGGCAAATGTGTCTTCCTAGGTTGCGATTTGGCAGCTGCGGATTCTGAATTGGTGTTGGGTTATTTGGATATCACATTTAGGTCGTCCGCTTGCGGGGAATTCGGCAGTTGCGTTCCCCCACATCTCACAGCATTGCTGCCCTGACAGATCCTGGCGCGCTGGCGAGGTCTCTCACTAAAGTGATCCATGTTTTTTCCTCGCCTGATTCGCCGATTTCACAGCCCCTCGGGTTGCCGTGTCAAAATCGGCAGATTTGAACTTGTTTCCTCCAAACGTAATGTTGACCCCGGATGAAGAAACCTGTCCCATGATTAGGGGGTGTTCCGAACACGGTGTTCCCTCCAAAAGTGGTCTGAATCCCCGCTCAAAGGGGACACCCCCCGATGAAAATCAAGCAGGGGCTTATTAGTCTGGGGTCAACATTAAAGACCATCAGGAGTTTTGAGCATGGTGGTCTTTTCGAGGTCTTGCCTGTCCTTACCAGGCAGCCCGTGAGAGCAGCAGCCTCTATGTATATGTTTATGTATGCGTCTTTTGTGGGTACCCTTCTCAGGTTGGTCAGGATGGGAAACCAGAAGGAAGATCACTATTCTCTCTTCTCCCAATCTGGAGAGAGACATGAGAAAACCTGCAGGTTTTCCAGCGGCGGCAGCAGGCAAAGATCATGGCAGCAATTCCGCCAATGCATGAGCCTAGCCAGGAGGACGGGGAGAAAGGCACATGTGTGTGCGCGTGCCTATTTTTGTGGAAGGTACCTTGTTGTAAGACAATTCAAAGGACAGGTCTTTCTTTCGCAGCACACACCCACCTCAGTGTCAAGCGGATTTTGCCCCCGAAGGGATAATGGGTTGCCTATCCCTTATGTAGTGGCGACGTGGCTTCCACGCTACTTTACCCTAGTGGCTTGGGTTCGGAAACCACTCAGATCAACGTTGACCACGTGTGGGTTGTAGGATCGACCTTGTTACGCATGGCCCTGAAACATTGCCTTATGAAGGGGACGAGTTTGCGAGGAGATCTACGACTTTATGATGGGCACCAGTGGCTTAGGTGACTGTCACCTGGTGCACCACCCGGAGAGGTGGCATTGCTTCAGAACCCCCATCGAGCACGTTTAGCCGGGCCAAAAGGCTGCTTGAGAGCGTTGCGAAAGCTTGACTCACTCTGAGCCATTTGGGTCTTGTGGCGAAGAATGCAGGGATGTTCTCGTTCCGGCCAGCTGGGTGTCCGAGCGGCGGGGGCAATGGGGCTGTCACCAGATGCCGAGAATGACCCTCCACAGAAGCAGCCCCTTGGCTTTTTACGCGGGCTCCGTTTATGATGCGTTTGCGTTGCTAGGAGCGCCCACTGTCAGATTCCAGCCCAGGTTGCAACTTGTAGTGGAAGTGCCAAAGCATGCACGACCTGGAGTTACAAAGCCCCCCAGCGGCAATAGTAACTGCGAGACGGGATGTTGTGTTGATACAGGACGCGACTCCCCCGAGGCTGGCGGTAGATGTGGATGAAGGGTCTGAACTTCATGTGTTGGTTCCTGCTGAAGCCGTTGTGACAGCCTCAGCTCCCCAAGTGTCGCTTGGGGTCCCGATCGGGGAAGCTGGCAGGAAACCATGGGACTGTCCCTTTGAGGAGCCGCACTGTCCTTTCATGTTGGAAAAAGGGGTTAAACAAACGGATTGGAACCCATGAAGAACGGGGCCCCTGGTTGCGTAGGGTGCCCCGAAGGGTCGGGGACCCGTCCCCGTTTCTTTTTGTTGGTTATTTGGACGGGGGACGAGGGAGAAGGGGAAGGTTGCAGGCGTCCATCTGTCCGATCCTCCCCTCAGGCCGGGGATCGCCTCCGGCTCACAAAGATGCCCGATGGCCCTTGGACCTGCGTCGTGCTGAGGAGGGGGCGGGGGTCGGAGGGGGTCGTAGGGGGTCGGAGGAGGTGGGAGGGGCTGGCTGTTTGGTGGCAGGTAGGGGGTCGGGGGCTGTGAAGGTATGAGATGCGGCATGTACTGAGACGATGACAATTGGTTCAGGCATTTACTTGCTTGCAACGTGCCTTCCAGTGGCATCCGTTTGATTCCTGTTTTGCAGGAGCCAGCCTCTTTACGACGTGGCGAATCGGATTCTCCAGTCGCCAGGCAACACCAGCTGAAAGTTGTGCGCAGTCGATTGCCCCAAGCAGGACCTTTGACGTGCCAATGCAGTGATTTTTTGACACACACACACACACACCTCCGCTTCTTTTCAATCAAAAGGGAGCACTCCTTAGTTCAGTTCGTTGTGAAGCAACATGAGCCAGTACTGCATTTGCCTTGCCAAACTCAGTGATCGCTATTGGTAGGGCGATTGACACCCACTTTCTTGTTGGAGCTCATTCCAATCGACACGTTCAAATGATATCAACTTCGGACTAACTTGGGCAGAGGGATTGTTCCCAAGTAATTATGCATCATTGCAAGGAAGGGCCTTTTCGTTCTGCATGCTTTGGGCTGCGTGAGGTGACCAGTGCAAGTTGCAGCTGTTGGTGCCCGCGAATGTGAAGCGCAGGGCTCAGAAAGCCATCGGCGTGGTCTTTCTCAAGTTCGTTTTGCTCTTGCGGCAAAACGGAGAGATCTCACCCAGGGAAAACGATCCCCCCAGACCCAGCCCTTTGGCTATGATTTTTTGGGAACACCCGCACTCATGACTATCCCATGTAAATGATGTCCCTGAAAGGCCCAGCCAATGTTCAATCAAGTTCATCCTGAAATCACATGGAGGCCTGGCGAGACCAAGCTGCAGGTCACCATCTCGGCAGACGAGCAGGCAGAGTTGCGGAGGAAAAGGGGTTGCTGCAGGGGGCCCCCTTTTTGGTATGTGAAGGGAACCCAGAAGGAAGACGGTTGCAATTGGGACGCCCAAGCAGGTCAAGAAGAGGGGGGGGGTTGGGGGCTATTCTGAGACATGTTGGCGCAGTCCGCTGCCGCTCGCCCAGGTGCAGTTGGCAGTTCCCAACTACGCCAGGCGGGAAGCCGAAGAATGAGGCCATGGTGCACTGCAGCGATGCATCCTGAAAGGGACGCCCTCTTGAAAATGCGCGGCGGACAAGATCCAACGGCACCCACAACCAAGGGAGGGTGGAACTTGTCATGCTGGCCAACACATGAAGCAAAAGAAACTTGATGCGCTCCAAAATGATCAGCGCCAAACACAAAAAACTTTGATTGTTTGTGGCAATTCGTCGGAGATGTTGGATCGTAAAGTCGCAAATGCCATCGCCAACGCCAGGACGGCCAGTGACTGGTGTAGATTTGTATCCTGGGTGATGGAGGTCCGTTTCCTCATCAACTCGAATTGATGTAAGAACAGGGATCTCTGTTTCTGGCGTCCCTTTGAGCAAAATCAGAAGCCAATCTCTTGACTGCTATTGGGTTGGATGTTTAGACTTTAAACTTTTTGGAAAATCAAGGGGCTTTCCACTAAGCCCCCCAAAAAGTTAAACTTGTTGCAGGGGGGTCAACAGCAACCAAGATCTCAAAGGTTTCCCGAAACGAATGGGTACCCGCAAGACGCCGTCGCCAGCTGGCGTCCGTCGCCAGCCCTGGGGACCTGATTGAGCTCCACAGAGCGGACGGGGAGCCCTGGCTGCCGGGGGCCGTGTGTGTGGTGATTTGAAGGGAAGTCCGGAGGCGTCACAAATCGACGCTTTCCTCTTGCTTGAGCACTGTTCTGGCTGCCAGTGAGCAAGCGCTCCATGACAGAATGCCCCTCTTTTCCCAAGAGAGGCGGAAGCAGATGGAGAGGCATAAAGCTAACGCCGAGGGCGAAATTTACGCGCGACCGGTACACGACGTCGCAGGACTGACTGGAAAGGTGGCAAGGTGCGAGGGCTGGCAGATTTACATTTATGTTCCCACCAATTAACATGGAACCTGCAGGGGGTCCCTTAGAAAGCAGAATGGTGGCAATTTGTTTTGCCCACCATGCCCCACCCTAGCTGACCCATCAAGGACCCGCAGAAGGGGCTTGCGGTGATGGCAGAGCTGGGGAAGACTTCCAGCGCGGGGCTCAGAGCAGAACCGTCGGACCCGCTGAGGTTCGAAGAGACGGGCCTCGATCGCCACGGGAGAATTACGTGTGTATCATTTGGGACCCCATTTGTCCATTTGGCTGTTGTCAAAACATGTACGCAAAATGGGGTCCTGGTAAATGGAAGCATGGACCAAAACCTGCGGTCCCCTGGTGGTTTAGTTTTGACCCATACCCATTTGTCAGAACGTGTTCACCCAAACTCTGATGTGCAGATTTTGCCGTGCTGAAGAGGCGTGAAGAGCCAAGGTGAAGCCGGCGTTGACGCTGACGCGCGGACGCTAAGCACACCGGGGCAATTTACGTACAAGCGGTGTGTACAGAGATTCCTAGGTGGAAGCAAAGCGTGACCTTATTGTGCAGGTCGTTCATGCCAACAATCCACTTGATGACTTGAAGGAGAAAGCTTTCAACCTGCTCCCGGAGAGTAATGTTCGGTCGCAAACGCTAGAAACGAGGGACACGCACACGTTGTCAAGAGGTCCGGAGAGCTTCCTTTGGTCTCGCAGCGGGGGTTAGCCTGGGCCCGGGCTCTCCAAGACCAGAAAGTCGGACCCACCAAACATGTCCCCAGAACTTCAGATCGGTTCTTTCTTTTTCCTTTGGGGTATTGGGGTTTGTCCAAGTTTGGCCTTGTCGCATGGTTGCTTGAGGATCCCAGCATGAGAACCGAACTAGAATGTAGCTTGCTGCTTGCCAATGGCTCTTTTGGGGGTAATTTGGGTTGTCCCCGTAAAGATTGGGGTTTTGCCCCGGACATATGTGTTGTCATCCCCCATGAGGAAATTTGAGCTGTCCTCGCTTGTTGGAAATTCGGGTGTCCCCACGTCCTAAACCTGTCAATTGGCCGCCCCGGCTACCTTGATGAGCATAGGGAAACCCGAAGGAGTTGGAACCGCAGCCAAACATGGTTGAACAAGGGTTGAGTTGCTCTACCCTGCCGACTGCTAAAACTCTTTTTTTTTTTTTTTGGGGGGGGGGTCTAGAGGAAATACAATTTTTAAAGCATCGCCTTCCTCCTTGGTGTTCTAAATGCAGCAAGATTTCTGATGCAAGCTGCAGGCACTGGTCGACCGCCTGTTTACGGTGGCGAAGGAGGCTGGCTGCTTTGCCTTGGCCTCGGGGTGTCAGTAAGGGCACACCGCAGTTTCGGGCGGGGTGTGTGTGGCTGTTGGCCATTGGGTCTGTGCATGTTTTCAGTCTGTAGTAGGGGAACCCAAAGGAAACCGCTGCTATAATGTCGTGGTTCTTGTCTCCATTTTGAGACCCCACCCAGCGTATTCCGCACGCAAGCCTTGGATTCTGTCCGGGAGCCAAGGTCAGCCCAAAGATAAAGAGAGGCTGTGCCTGGGCCCCAGTTCCGCCTCAGGGGCCAAGGATACGAGAGGGTGCCCTTGGGACTTGAGAAAAGTTCTGCCCAAAAGGGATCCAAGAGCAGTGCTGTCAGAGGGATTGTTAAACTCCCGGTGCATTTTTTTTAAAACAACAACCATTGGCGGATTCAAAGGTCAATAGGCTTTTTCGGTGAAGCGGGGCGCTCAAGTTCTTTGCATGCGGAGGCGCCTCCCTTGAACATCCCCGGGTTGGTGGCTGTGGAGGCCATCGAGGAAGGGGAGGAGCTGCTGCGATCGCACGTTTGCCCGGACGTCTGCTCCGCCGTTAACGACTTTCCATTTCAACGTTCATTACTATTATTGTTTTGAATCAGAAATGCAATATGGAAAGGGAAGCATAAAAGCGAAGTATATTATGTAATCTGCAACCACGAAGAAAGACGGTACATGATTTCGAAACTACAACCTTTCCTCCACTCAAGGTGATTCTAAAGAAGAAAGCAGTTGTAGCTCCTAAATTAATTGCATCATGTAATCCTAGATCCGCTACTGCATGTCCAAGCCTTGTTCGCAATATCCTTATTGACCAGTATAACATGTTGAAGTTGCTTTGCGTTTGTTGCAATTCTCTCAAACCTGTCTCTATTACTCCTTGGAGCCACTTTTGTCGTCGTTCTTGTTATTCTTCTTCTGCATCTTCCTGTTCTTGTTCTTGTCCTTCTTCTTCTTCTTCTTCTTCTTCTTCTTCTGCATCTTCATGTTCCTGGTCTTGTCCTTCCTCTTCTTTTTCATCCTTTCTCAAATCATTCATGTTTACGAGGGGTGGGTCACCAGGATCGCTACTCCTGTAGCAGAAGCTCTTGTATGGCTTACTAAACCTACAATATACAATTTCTTTTCTTTCCCATGGCTTCATTGCCGCCCCAACCGCATCATTCATGTGGGCGTGTCTCAAAAAAGCAAACCTTTCCTCAAATGCGAAAAGAGAGATGCCCATGTTAGGTCCGGTTCAGGAGCTAATCCGCGTGCCCAGCAGATTTCACCTCACGCCCCCCACCGTGGAGACCTCTGCGCCAGCGCTGGCGGCAGCTTCTCGGCTGCACTGGGAGTGGTTGGGTATGTCTTGCCGTTGGCTGACCGCACCGGGGGGAGGGGGGCATGGCGATAGCCATTGAGCTCCACTGAGGCAGTGCAAGCGCAGGGGCCCTGGTTGTGGCCCGCATTCGCTCATTCGCCGAGCCCTCGCGCCTGCATTCGCATCCCATCGAGGTGCTCAATGCCCGCCCAGCGCCGTTTGAGCCCCAGAGGATGCTGGAGCACCGTTGGATGGGTTTTTCCTGGGGGCCTTTTGGGTGGACATCTTTTGCAGGTTTATTTTTCTGCCCACCAACACCCTGGAGCGTCAATCCCCAGTGACATTTTTTTTGCTTGCCAACAGAAGGGTCGGCCATTTGAGGTGGCGAGGCCTTGCACGCCTTTTTCCTGGCCCGGCTGCTGGCGGATGCCCAGGTGAGGGCCATGGATATTGGGAGCTAGAATTTGAGGGCCCGCAGGATTTAAAAACAGAATTCCTAAAGGAGGAGGTTGCAGGCGGGGGGGTGGGGGGGAAATTATGGACCCCGTTCTAGGGCCCCAGGACAAAAGACGGCAGCACACATGGCCGAACTCCCCCCCTTCACGGAAACTCCAGGATTGAGGCCGCGAGGTGCACGCGCCTTTTGAAGTTTCGTTTTTTTTTGTTTTTAAACGCGGGCCTTCCATTTGGCCTGGCAATGGGCCGGCAGGCAGGCAGCCCGAACGTTACAGCTTGCGATCGGTTTATCGCGGGGGGGGGGGGGGGGAACCAGTTTTAGTTTCTTCTTCCTCCAATGGTTGATTAGCGAATTATCATCATTATCACTATCATGTTTGACAAGAGCACCCCACAACCAACCGCAACGTGCCCTGCACACGTCGAACTGCTGGAAGCAAGCTTGTGACCATGGGAACTTTGCTTCAGGAGCGTGTGGTGAATGCAGCTGCCCCGCGCTCAGCGGACGACCCTTTTGCCAGCTTGGCGTAGCCACAGTTCTGAACTGAGGACAGATGCAAGCCCCATAGAACGGAAGCCACAAGCCGTATGGTTCAAGCAACTCATCTGGGTTGGGACCATTTTGCAATAAGCCGGTACTTGGGCAAGGGCTTTTGACAGACCTCACGCAAGTGACATTCGTTTCAGGGACGGAGCGTCCTCGATGGCAAGTGGTCGGCAACTGCGGACCAGAAGAAGGTGAGGAGCACCGGTGTCACATTGGCGTTTCTTTGGAGAGATCAAAGGTTTCACTTTGATGGGGAAATGCAGTGACCCTGGCAAAAGCTCACAGCTGGACACGCTGTGGATGGACGAAATCCTGCACCACTTTGAAACCATGGGAAACCATTGTTTGTTGGCATTTGCAGGGCAATCATCATTCCAGGGTTTCGTACGTAGGTGGTGCAGGATTTTGTCCATCCACAGTAGGCCCGGATTTTACAGCGTGCACAGTGCAATGGCAGATCACTTCCGGCTGGACTGGAAGCCTTGAGCAGCGATTTGTTTGCGAAGGGGTGTGGTCTTCTGGCCTTCCCAAGCTGTCATCTTTCTCTCACGTGGCAGCGAAGCCTATCAAGCTGCGAGAGCGACACCCGCGTAACGCAAAGGTGTGGGAGGCCTATGCTGATGCCCTTCTTGCCGAGGAGAGCGAAGCTTTGACTTGAGGCAAAGCACACCGGAAGCTCAAGCTGAGCGCTGGAAGGATTTCTCTTATCATCCATTCCGCCTGGCAGCTTGCAAGCCGGAAGAGATGCCGTGAGCCCGGGATTTTTCTCGCACCTTCCATCCGCAGCGGCACCACGGGTGCAAGCTGAGGCGGGAGAACCTGAGCCCGTCACAAGAGGCTGAGTACTTCATTGACATGGTCCGGTTCTGAGCACAAAATACGAGTTGTGACATGTTCTGGTGTCTCCATTTCATAAAGATCGCCAGAATCAGAGCTCAGGATAATAGTTTGCCTTGGTCTCGTTTGTCTGAATATCCCCCCTGCGATATGAAAATCCTTGGAGCTCAAGTGATCCATAAGAGGTACTGCGCCAGGGGCCAGCGGTACGCAGCAAGGCTCTTGGGCTTGAAGTGCACTGAGGCAGCCGACTTAATGTCCCTGCACGAGACAATGCAAAGGTGCCAGCTCTTGGTGGTTTTCACAGTGTCATCGAACATCAAACTCAGGTAGCTGACACTTTATGGACAACCTCAGAAAGATATGGGCGTAGATATCCGGCCTTTTAGTTTAATTCTTTGCATGGTTCTGGATATATCCACCTTTAGTGCTAGCTTTGGAACAGCGTCAGTGCTGATGCAATGCTGGAGGTGCGAGGCGGATGCGTATGCGGAGGATGCGGAGGCATTACCACCCCTGGAGGCTGTGCCAAACGGGCCGTTGGAATGTCCATCGAGTGCTTCGCATCGCCAGGCTCTAATTCTAGAGTCCTGGAGGTCGCTTTCCTTTGGTTCAGACATAGCCTCATGGCCATTTCTTTGGGCTCGATGTGTGGGGCATGTCACCCTGTTGGCCGGGGCTTTTGCAACAGGCAGAGATGTTTCTGCGCGCTCGTATGTGTGCGCCGCAGCCCTGGTTTGAAGTATTGCGAGGGCGGGGTTGGGTGCAGCTCGTTTTGTGTCGTCTTTTCTCCCTTGCCAGCGGAGCATTGAATTGTTGGAGTCTTGTTGTCCTGAGCGAATTGCTTGGTGTTGAGGCAGCTGTCTGTTGGCCAAGGCAAACTCGTGTCTTCCAGACCTGCGGCTGGCTTAGAATGGGTGCTTCGGTGGTGAATGCGACCCGCACTGCGCCGAGGCGTTGACACCACGCTGGTGCCGGTGGCAGATTTGTCTCGTCCTCAGTGAGGCTTTGCGGTGAGGAGGGATCCATAAAATTGTTGTAATAATATGAAGATACTTATTGTTATGTCTATCAGAAAAAGAAAAAACAATGGAATCAACAGATCAATGTAAAGGTGCACATAAATTAACACCAAGGGGCATTGCGGGGCGCTTTGCGGAGGCTGAACCACTCGCCCACTCTGACCCCTGGCGTGTTGTGGGGCTGGGATGCGGAGGCAGGAGACGATGGCTGGCGATGGCTTGAGATTGAGCGAAGCCAGGCGCAAGCCATGATCATCACCGCTGTGCGCGTGCTCGGCTGAGTGTCAAATCAAGATACTCAGTGCGCTGTGAGCATGCACCGTTTTATTTTCTGTTTGTTTGTTAGTTTGCTTGTTTGTTTGATTATTTGTTTGTTTGTTTGTTTGTTTGTTTGTTTGTTTGTTTGTTTGTTTGTTTGTTTGTTTGTGTTTTTGCAAACATCCCCCCTCCCCGCGTGCAGGGTGTTCACCACAGGGTTCCCAATTCAGCGGTGACCAAAACCGCTCTGGCTAGGCACACAGCCCGGGTGAGGAGCTCCTGACCACATATGGCGCCAGGCGCGCCGTGGCAAATGCGTTGGCTGTACTCCCCCTTGTTCCAGTTGTTCGTTTTGTTTGCTCAAGTTTGATTTCTCCAAAAGACTAGGGAATCTTTAAGGGGCTTCTCCGAAGGATTTGTGACAAGAATGTGGGATTGTTAGCCTCCGAGGTCCAACATGCTGGTCTATAGAACCTACGGTTGCGAACTTAGGACCACTGCTTGTTTTGTGGCTTGGTTCCCGGTTGGTTCCCGGCAGCCTCCTGGCCGGCGCGCTGGTGTCTGCGTGGTGCCAAGGTTTCACCCTGCACCCAAAGAACGAGCCGAGCTTCACGCACCCTCGGCAACACTACAGCTTTGGGAAGAGTCCGTTGCAAATTTTCGCATCGGCAGCCGGCAGGTACATCATTCGACCGCACTTGGCCCCGTGCTTAGCAGAGCAGAGTGGTGCACATGGGTGGGGTTTGTAGCAATCCGGCAGACCGAATTGGCCCACGAACTTTCCAGCGCTTGCCAAAATGTGAGAGGTCAGACCGGTACTGAAGATCTTCATGGACAACGAGGAAGCCAGGCTGTTTCTCAAACGCGACACGCGCGTCGCATAGGTTTCATTTGTTTCTGAACTTGAATCATGAATGGGGAGCTCCCTGAACGATGTTTGGTGGACATGCGCGCACACGCATTTGCTTTCAATTTGTTCAGTCGCGCTTGCGTGCGCGTTTTCCATGCCACGGATTTTCCCGGGAGCTGCATTTGTTTGACTGGACAAGGCCAATCCGCGCCGACTCCAGTTCCGTGGGCCCTTCGCCAGGCCCCTCATGTTGCTGGAGACCTCGCATATCGACGACTCCCTGTGCCAAGCTGGGCTCCCGGGAGTCGATTTTCGGGCCCGGGAGGTGGCAACTGAAGCCAAGCCTTAGCTGGGAAGATGATGCTTAAGGGACCCCGTTTCAGAACCCAGACAGATATTGATACAGTAAGGATCTACAAGGCTATTTTTTCCAATGTCTTGTCATCCCACAGCTTGACTGGCAGGCATCACGTTGGTGGGATTTAAGAAGGTCGCAGGTTGAGGGATAGTGTCCGCCATTCAATGGGTGCGGAGGTGCGCACTGTCGATTCTTTAGGCCCGAGCAACGGGTTTCGATTCTGACTCACTTGGGATTGGCCTGTTCCCTGCAGTGTTTGTGCTGTTGTGGGACTGCCGGCTCAGCCTGACCGCAGCTTCCGGCCAGAGTCTGCAAGAATGACTCCCCGTGCCGCACCCATCGGCGCCTTCGCAGCAGGCTTTGAGAGAGAGTTCCCTAAAAAAAAAAACACACACATAAAAACAAGTATGGCGCGGGCCGTTGTTTGGCTGAGTTTCGGTGGATTTCGCTCGTATAGAGGTTTGTAGTCTCATCAGGGGTAGGACCAAGGCACGCTGATGCGACTCATGACTTCTTGTGCCGAGCTCCGTGCACACGCGCAGCCACAAGCCCATCACAGTGCCACGCTAAAGGTTGATGACTTCCTACCGAGCACTTAGTTACTCGTGTGTGCCGACCAGAGAGATTCTGAGATGCTGCGAACACCTGCGCGATGACAGTTGGAATGTGGACACTTCCTCATCGGGCTTCCCTTGCCTTGCGTTTGACAAGGGCACAAGCCTTCCTCCCACCCACTTCCCAACTCCAACCCTACGTCCAACTGTCCAACTCAAACTCAAACTCAAACTCTCTCTCTCTCTCCCTCCCTCTCTCTCGCTCTGTGTTTGTCTCTGGTGTCTCCCCCTTTTCCCAAACAGTCCGATTTCAGGCAGCGCATGGCTTGAGCAGAATGGTGCCGGGCCGGCCGGAGACCGGCAAGCCTTGGCCACGGCGTTGTGTCCTGGCTCAAAGATCGGGCCGGGGGCGGAGGCCAGCGGTGGCGGGCCAGGGCTGGCAGCGCCAGCCTTTTTGAGCCGGAGAGTTCGATCTTTCTCAAACACTTGTTGTACCTGGTCATTGTACCTTCTGGGTCTTCAAAGATTTAGGCCAATGGTGGACTTGGCTGGTGATAGCGAACACTTCAAACCCAGGGAATTTCCCACAGTCCCAAAGCTGGTCCTTGTGTAGCCCAAATTGGTGCCGTCAACTGATTTGCAATCGCCCCGGTGTGTCAAAGTGTTTTGGTTTTCGTTGAGCCACCCAAAAAATGGTGGGTCAAAAGCAAGGGTACCATCTTGTGCAGTAATTCGGTGAATTCACCGCCGGTTTTAACACCCATTTTAGTGGTTGGATGGGGTTTTTATATCGTTCACTGGGGGTCACCGATTTGGAGTTTGCGAAACGGCCGAAAAGCGGCCAACCCGAACACCCGCGCCGGGCGCGTCTGACCCGACCGAGCTCGCCCTGAGGACCGCGGAGCTGCAAGCCAAGGGATTCCCGCCGGCGGCCGTGGCGAAGCAGGCTCGGGCAAAACCCCGTGCCAGGGAACAGATGGGCTGCTGGTACCGTTGGTTTTCGTTTTTCTTGTGCCTTTTTGTTTTTTGGGAGTGTTTTTTTGTTTTTTTGTCGGGGTGGGTGATTTTGTTTGTTTGTTTGTTTGCTTTTGGTGGGGGTGGGAAAGCCACAGGGGAGCCCCACATTTGAGGGCCGATTCCTCTTTGATCTTGGGACGAAGCCATTGCCATCAGGGCCCCAGTTCCGGTCGAGGGTATTGTGAGAACTTGCGAAGATCGCCGCGAAACCGGCGAAAGGAGAAATGGGTCTTTCTCAAAGGGACCCATTCAGGTATTCAGGTGGTTGGCTCCCTTTTGGTTTCCCCTCAAAAGACGTTTATTCTTTGATGTATTCTCGTTTATTCGCACCGCCCAAGGAGTCTTTTTCCCTCGAAGCAGGACTGGCGAATCTGGTATGTTGGAGAACCATAGGTTGAAGAGAAGCCCTAGACAAACACCCCATGTGGATGGACGAAATCCTGCACCACCTTGTTTGCAGGGAATCGAATCATAGGGTTTCTGAACGGTGGTGCGGGATGGATTTCGTCCATCCACGGTATGGTCCATGAAACAGAGACCTCGTGAGGTCAGCCACTTCTTGGAGAGCGGCCGGGTCTCTGCTTCCAACTTGGACCGTCTCATGCGGCGCATGGAGCGCCGCCTGGATGGCATTTGTGAATCTTTTGTCTTTTTTTTTGGGTGGGAGCCTGGTTTTTTTGTTTTTTGTTGATGGGGGGGGACCTCTCCAGTTGGGTTTGTTCAAAGGGAAATTCAACGCATGTTTTTTGGGTTCCCGGATTTCTCTGGGACGAAGCTGAATTAAGTTGGGTAGATTGGATGCTTACAACCGTTTTTTTGTGTGATTAGCGGGTTGTTGGGTGGACGAATCTCAAGGCTTGATGGTTCCACTTTTTTTTTTTGGGATGTCCAGGCTGGGAGGGGCTCTTCTTTACCTTGTCAGCCGGCAAGGTGGGACAATGCATCATAGAACAGGTTTGATCGATCTCAATCATACTTCGAATGCTTTGACACTAAGGCTCCGTGGACAAAGCGTCGCCTTCGATTCTTGCCTGCATTCTGCGCGAAATCCTGGGGCGTTGTCCCCAATCATCATGAGGTTCTCTCTGAGCTCTAATGCGTGGTTTGGCCCTGGTTTCCGTGGAAGCCGCCCAACAAGGGGTGGCCACACAAAGGCGCGCCCTGGCTTCAGACTTGCGGCCTTGCGGCCTGAGGCTCTCTGCCAGAGGAAGTGAGGTGCAGCGCTCGGGAAGCACAGAATTAGGGATGCCGACTGAAGGAACGGAGTCCCATCATCAAGTAGCGCATGGCATCCGTTCCCACAGGCCTTGTTGATCACGAAAGCTGCGCCCTTGCCAAATTGCCACCGAGGAGTTTTCTGCGTGTCTGCAAGCCCGATTGATGGGGGTTTTCGGAAGACTTTCGTTCGCCTGCCGGCTCTTGTTGTGCAAGTCTCACACCAGCTTTCCTGAATGGACTGATTTGTGTTCCTTTTGCCTGGCCAGCTTCTCCTTTAATTTTATGACATATTTTGACAGATTGCCGAGACCAAGCTAAAGAGCAGTCCGCTCGGTTTTGGGAGGATTGGGACGGCAACCACTTCGTTTGGGATTCCCTTTGTTTGCAGCCGCTTGCTGGGGTCTGAGTCCCTGGATAGGCGAGGGCACGAACCCTTTTAACCATCTGTTATTCTCTTAAGGTGGACGGTTTGGCAGGCAGCGTAAATTCTGTCAGCGTCCCAAACTCCAAACCTCATTTTGTGCGGCTTGCAAGGGCGACAGTGCAAGGCGCCTGTCGACATCAGAGAGCTGGCAAGATGGTCGAAGGTGGCTGCTATCCAGAAGCAGCGCATGGAAGACGCTTGGCAGAAGTCATTTGCAGCATGTGGCCATGTGCTAAATGCAGGGGATCTAGGTGGAGGGGGTGCACTCGTGCATGCCGCCAGTTGCCATTTGGCTGGATTTTGTAGCCAGATACTGGGAACTGCCCTTGGCTCCTCCTTTTTCCGCCTTTTTTCTCTCACGGAACCTAGAGATGAAGCAGGCAACGCCAAGAACTACCCAAGGCTTGGGTTGGCTTGGGTTTTGCCCTTTTGAAAAAAGGAGGCCAAGAGAGGCTGCACCCAGCGGTCTCCGACTCCCCGCATCATGTGGCTTCTGATCCTCATCCTGGTGCTGGTTCTGCGCGCGCTCCGTTCCTGCCGGGAGCGCTGCTGCCAGCCGCGGGTGCTGGCTGGGCCACAGATGAGCGCCATCCTGGCGCACTGTGGCAGCCTCTTCCGGCGCGGCCCGGAAGATTGGCCCTAAACCCCTCTCTCGGTGCCTCAGTGGGCCAAAGAGTAAGGACGTTTAGGCGAGGGCTGGGGTTTAGGCGAGGGCTGGGGATCTTATGGTGAATGCCATGTTGGTCGCAGGGGTGCCAAGCCGATTTCGGTGGGAAAGGCGTGAGGAAGATCAGCAAGGTTAGCGAGGCGTTTCATTCTGAGAGAGGTTTGCGAGATTGGGGCGGGGCGGACTTCTTGCCCAGGTTTGCGTCTTACGCCATGGGCGCTAAGCGGGCACATACAGGCGGGGAAGGGATTGCTGGCCCGGCCCCGACTCTGTTGCAAAGCTTTTGCCAGCCTAACGTCTGGAGAGAGCCCGCTCAGTTGAGAATTCGGGTCTTGAATCAATGCCTTGCAGTTTGATTGGCTGCGAACATTTTGCAGGCGACGCTCTATGCGTTTTGGCCGCAAGTGGGCTGGCATGGCAGCCTGCGGCCGCAATACTTCAGAGAGATGGTCCGCTGCCGGGATGGCGGTCACGTGGCTTTGGATTGGATATGCTTCGATGACAAGATTCCGCGGGAAGACACGGAGGATACCATCATCATCCACGTGCCGGGCTTTGTGCGCAAGAGCACTGACGCTTGGCCCTTGCCTTCATTGCCAGTTGTTTCTTTTTTGGGTTTGCAACTGTCCTCGTCGCTTGGCCAGAAAGATCTTCGCGATTGCGGTGGCAGTTGTTGCTGGTGGTGTTGAAGCTGATGCTGCTATAGCGAGCCCAAATCGGTTGCTCCATTGGCCGACACTATTTGAAGCCAGGACACCTATGCCTGCCGCATGGCGCAGTACCTCCACGGGCAGACCGGGGGGCACATGCGGAGCGTGGTGAAGAGTTGGCGGGGCATCCACTGCCCTCTCTCCAAGGAGTCCTTGAGACCGGAGACTTGGGACGTCTTCGCCGCGAGGCATGAGGCAAACTTCAACGCAGCTTTGGAAGGGAAGAGCCACCAGAAAGGGATGGATCAATCTTCAATGAACGAGTAGATGGGAGGAATGTTGCCACCGAAGACTGAAGGAATTCTCCCTTGTCAGGGACGTGCTGGATGTTGCGGAGAAGC